TCCAGTCACCCTGGGTCAAGGGTGAACAGATGACCACGGAGAGTAGGGGTATTGACCGCTCCGCCAACCGTGACGGACGGACGGGTGCTCCCACAGAACTAGCATCCCGCGCTGATGGTCGCCGTGATGCCAGACGTGGCGCGGCTTCAGAGTGAGGGAAATGAGGGAAAAAGTGGCAGTGGCTTCAGCCCCCCGAGCTGCGGTGTTTGCTTCATGGTAATGAGGCGTGGGTGCCGGCGTTGGCTTGACCTTGGGCTTCCAGAGGCAACCCGTCACTTGACCAAACCGTTGTCAAGCAAGGTTCCAATCGAACGACAAACGTTGCTTTTTGCGTAGAGTTGAAAATGTGAGTTGTCAAACAAGCGGCGGTCATTGCGCGATGAGTAAACCACATGGACCATGAGCAAAGCCTGAAAGCCTGAAACTCTGAATCGTAGGGCTTTTGTTGATGTCCAGTGGCAGAAAAACGAACTGCGAGGTGGTGACGAGTGACCACCAACACGGTGAGATGAACGCCAGTCTCCAGCAACTGCATTGGAGGAAAGGTGACGTTTCAAGGGTCCAATTGCAGCCTATCCGAAGTTCCCCCAGGTGCTGTGACGAGGCACTTTTTGGGGCCTGGTGACCAGTTTACCCATGCCGGGGCTTGAGAGTTTGGGAACGAATGTCTCGCCTGGTTCAGGAACCAAAAAGCCTCGAAGGCTTAACGAAGGTCTGGCACGCTGCTTGTGTCGGTCCCTCAGGATCGATCAGTCTCAACCATACCTTCTGACATCGACTGCATACGTCTTGCCCTTCTTCTTCTTGACCTCTGAGTTGGCATAAGTGTCTCTCGTGAGCAAGAAGAACAACTCATTCCGGGGCGCGGGAGAGCCCACAAAGCGCCCATCTAGCTGTTGTTCCCCTCCGACCCCCCTGTCCAGCCCGTTGATGAATACTGGATCCCATGACATTTTGGCAACCAACCGCGGGGTAAGTAATGAGACGATGAGCAAGCAAGGCGGTTGTGTTCATCATCGATGCCAGGTTCCAAGTTACTGCTTGGCTGATGTGCATGTCTGTAGATAGGATGCCTCCTTGCGATCAACATTGGGGATGACTGTTACTATCGCGTCCCTTGTCATTACTGACGCCTCACGAGGGCTGAGCTTCGTGGGCGGACAGCGGGCAGGCGGCAGACAGGCGACAAGCGGCAGGATTTGTTGATGACCTAAGTGATGGACATCATCACGAGGTCGATTTGGGGCGAGCGCAGACGCGCTGCCGCAACCAGTCAAGCAGCAAAGTCGCAAGCCAGCAAGGGGGTCAGAGCATGTCACATCGCCGTGTCAGCGCTGAAGGACGGGCCGTCGCCGATTCGTCCGCAACCAAATTTGGCGACGACGAATTGACCTTGTCGCCGTCGCGAGTCCGGGCCCAAGCAAACTGCTATGGTGCCAGCTCACTATAGAGCAGTCGACACTATCGAGGGCTATGCAGCCGCCATGAGAGATAGTCTCGTGGACACGGACGGGCACTGCGAGTTGCCGAAAGATGTTCTCCCTTCAATCTTGCGCCTATACTTGTCTTTCCGCGTAGCAGACCGGATTTCGTCCCGAAGAGTGTCGCGGCTGTGGTATCCGTAGGTTTGGAGATGCTCGAAGCGGAAGAGGAGCTGCGACAAGTCTGTCCCCGTGGTGACAATGCCATGGCAATCCAATTAACGGGCACTGTATTTGCAGCGACACCTGCGACTCGTGATCCGGGCTTCAGGGACGGGAACAAATGCTGGGGAAATTGGAACGTTCGGAACCAGGGCATCTGCTTGGTGGCCCCAGTTGGGTGAACGTCAAGACTCAATTGGGGGGTTTCCGAGGAAGCGATTGGCGGTCGTCCCGACGGAAGGGTTGGGCAACCTAAGCCTCGAAGCAGAGATTGAGAAAGCGTCGGTTTGGGTTGGTCCGAAGTCACGGGCACAGCAGAGAACCAGGCGAACCAGTCGAGTTGAGCGTTTCTTCTGGTGGTCTCGTTGTGCGTTGTCACCTCCGTTGTGCCGTTCTCAGCTCAAGGAGTCAGTCCGTCAGGGACCCTTTCTCTCTGGCAGGACAAGTGTTTTCCCCCTCCAGTGCCTCCCCAGGTTCGGAGAAGAGCAGCGAGGCCGCAGGGCAGATGAGCAGCTGGACAGGGACCGACAGGGACAGGGCGTTGATGGACGTTGCCTTCACGGTTCGCGCTGGACGGCGATCCGTTTCGGCGGGAAGAGGCACGGCGGCTCGTGACCACTAACCAGACGGAAATCGCTGTAAATGGCAGCGAGCTGTCGAGGCTGCATTCGTTCTAGGCCGTCGCGGTCTGTGAGGGTGCCAGAAGGGGAACAGTGCCGGTAGGACGGTAGATCCAGGAGGCACGCCAGGCCTCTTTGGGTAGCAGATCTTTGGCTTATCCCCTTTGGGTAGTGTACGGGTGTTTCGGTCAGGTACCGAATGACGGTTGACGGAAAAAGCGCGACGGAGGAGCGGACGGGGGTAGAGATGTGGACTCTGTGGAGGAGTCTTTGGAGGTCGAGACGAGGCCGATGGAGACTTTTCGATGGAAAACGTGGAGATGAGGCGCGGCGCATATTCGGCCAGACGACTTAGCCACTGAGAACTGGTGACAGAAACCCCGTATTCCGCACAGCAAGGTCTCCGTTTTTTTCCTTTGAACGTACGTACGAAGATTCTGTGCCCCCGAGATCCAGAACCGTGACGGAGACGCGATAGGGAGACTGAATTGGCATGTTCCTTACGGAGTAGTCTGGTCTGGATTGGCCGAGGTGCTGACGGTGACAAAACAAACGACGGACGGACGGGATGCAATGCGGCAATCCAATGGGCCTGGATTGGCAATGCCGCGACGAAGACGGCCAGAAGCCTCCCGTCACATGACCCAAACGGTCCCGTGGGCGAGGCGTCCGTGGAGCTGAACGTGGATCCCAACGGACTGAGCTGGGCTAGGCCCCAGGTCCCAATTGAAGGTTTTCGTTCCTGGAGTTGGAAGACGTGGAGGGATGGAACGGAGAGGGGGAGAGCAGACAGCTGACCGTCGACGTTTGCCGCCTCGACGGACTGGAGTACTGCCTAAAGAAGCTTAGTGAGTCGAGGCTCGAGCTACACCAAAAGAGGAAGTATACTAGGTCACCCGCGCTTCCAAAATTGCGCGTTGGGTTGCCGCATGGGGTTCAGCGCAATTGCCCTATGATGCCCCTTTAGGCTTGGTTCATGAAGAGAATAAGGGAGCTGATGTCTCTCTGGGTACTGCGGTAGGAACGGAGTACATCAGAGCAAGAGTCAAGACAACTCACGTTCCTGGGCCCCCCTCTCGAACTCCGGGGGAGCCACCACGCCTTGCCCCGTCCAGGCAGTGTACCGAACTTCCCCGAACGACAAGTTTCTGGACCTCGTCAACCCCTTTCCCTTGGGCCCTTGGGGTGCCCTTTGTACGTATCCCAGTGTCGTTGCCCGTCCCAGAAGGTCTCCTGCGCACCCGTGACTGCCTTGCCGTCGTCTTGCGCTTGCTGGTACTGCTGTTCCGCGCTCTCTCCGTTCTGGTTCTGTGGTCTCGTGGAGTCTTGCGTCTGTACATTCCGCTACGTACCGAGATACCGCCGCAAAGAGACGTTCAGAACCCCTGACACCCTGACATTGCTTGGGATGGAACACACTGACATGACTGACTTGACTGAGTTGAGTCTTCCTTTCTGCTCTAGACCTGATTCTGAATCACGCACTCGCTGGGAAGAAGAGGCCCAGCGTCGTCACAAGCTGAAAGGAGCAGAAGAGAAGAACAGAAGACCAGGAGAACGTATCCGTCCCTCAAGCCAGGGCGAATAGATGGATACAACCTGGACTGCACAATGAGGCAAGATCAGTCAGTCAAAAGCTTGAGCATACGCAGAATACTATCCGTATATCCGCACGAATACCTACCTGGTAACTGTGAAGAGAGAAGAACGGGCTCCCTGTGATGCTCTTCATGGGAGGGTCATTCCCCTCTGGAAAAGAGAAAAGCCACCGACCGGCGGTACCTGAATACCTCAGTGACCCAAGGCCTCAGGTCCCAAGGTCAGGTCTCTCTCAATTTTTTTTATGAACAGTACGTACCTCTCCACACCCAAATCTCACTCACACCCCCACACCTCAGTACCCACACCCTCTTCTTTCCCTTCCTCTCCTTCTTGCCTTCTTCTTTTTTCCCTCTTACCAGGTGGTGGTGCCCCATGCCGGGGGCCCCTGCTCGCTCCTCCCTCCCCTCTTGTCTTCTTGTCCCATGCTGAGGGAGGTGCGAGGAAATACTTTGCTCACCGCGACTCACCCCCATGCCAACATCAACATATCCCACGCCCCCCCCCCCCGATCCTAAGGTACTCCCACCCCTTTCACCCACACCCCCGGTCCCAACACCCCCAATTCCCCATCTCTTCCCATTGCCCATCGCACATTACATCTACCTATACTTACTTACATGCATCCCACTCCGCTGCCATCTAATCCACATCTTTCAACTCTCTCTGGCCAAACCCGAGGTGACGATAATTATTAACATCCGTCTTCCCCCAGACTTTCCACCCTCCTCTTCTTCTCTTACTTCATTGCTCCACCAGAAGCACATCTCGACCCTCGACTCGACACCTCTCCGCATATCCAGAGCCAGCATTCTCCGGATTCCCTCCCGTAAACGCCATCATATTAAAGCATTCCTGTCTTCGCCCTTCCGCACATCGACGCCTGCATCAGCACTTTCAGCGGCATCATTTCCCCGACGTACGACATCATCGACCGCCACTCGCAAAACCACGACATCCGACCCCAAATCTGATCTCGACAACATCCATCTCCCTTCGCTCCAGGTGCCGAATCTGCCCTACTCTACCCAGTTCACATACACCCTCAACGCTGGGTGTCTCTTCCATCTCAACCACCACCATATTTCCGGAACCGACGACTGCCAGCTGCTCGAATCGAGCAGAACATCTCGGCGCAATGCCTTACCCTCTCGATACGCACGTCCTGACAGTGGACACCAATGTCATCAACAAGGTCGATACCTCAAATCCTCAGAACCTATACAGCATGTGGACTGGTAAGCACCTCGCACCTAGCTGCTCCATGCAAGGAGCTTGCGCATTTTGCGCCTACTAACACATCTCCAGTCTTTGCCAAGTGTGCAGAGTCTGTTGAGCAGGGCCGTAGGTTAGAGAACCTCAGCTGGCGATTGTGGAACCGTGAAACGTTCTGCTGCACCGAGGAGGAACAAGCCTCCATTACCGCCACCAGCTTGCCCAGAGAGATCCCCCAAGCCAGCAGAATACAAGATATCCCTCAATTATCCGGCAGTGTCGAGTCAGAAAACGACGACGAGGCAGTCGACTTCACTTCATTGTCCGCCCCCTAGAGATCCGTCCTAGAATCCAAAGACAGGACTCTTGCGCGAGCAACCGCAGCCGTGGCAAGGAACGCCACATCACTTCCGGCGACTTCGAGAAGATGGTCGTCTCCATTATCAAGGAAAACGAGCCCTTGTCCGCACCTCTCCCGCAAATGACCTCCCCTTACATGCCTCCCATGAAGGAGACTCCCGACCTGGCCCCCGCCTCCCCCGTCTACGAGCACTCTGGATCTACCACAACCGAGTCGCCTTGCAAGTCATCGGAAGAAGAGCACTCTCAAGAGCCGACCTCACCTGAAATCACTTCTCGCACCACCGTGGTCCGCGGCTTCTCTCCATCCCAGATTCCCAGAGCCATCCCTGCTTCTCCCAAGGTTATCTCTCCCGCCGCCATCCCCGAGCCGAGATCATCGCCCGCTGCCAAGCCCATCCTGTCCAAGAAGCAACCCATGTTCTCCATTGGCGAGTCTTGCTCCTCAAGTGAACAAGGCCACAGCATCGAGAACCTCAGACCCATTCCCGCTCCTGTCCAGAAGCGCAAGATGTTCCAGGTCGGCGGCTCCTCCGAGGAGGACAGCTCTCTCAAGAGTGCCCTCGCCTCCCAACCCGGCTCCCTGCTCACCGGTCAGAAGAAGACGACTTCCTTCGCCGACCACGTCTCGACCCGCATGATCAACGACGACAACTCTGCTATTGCCGACGATTCAGAGACCGACTACGTTGACGAGAGCGCCATTGATGATGACGACGACTCTTCCGACTGGGAAGACTCCATCGAGGACAGCAACAAGTCTAGCATCGATGAGAAGACCTTCTTCCAGCGCGTCGACTCCAAGGTCAACTTGACTTCGCGCCGTTCCCTGATCACGCTCATGATGACTGAGCAGAACGACCGCTCCAGTAAGCTTGGCAACATTGCCTCCCAGTCCACTTCGGCACTCCCTTGGTCGCGCACTAGCCACCCGGCTCCTCCCACCTTGGCCGTCTCCCCCAACGACTCTGATGACGCCCCTCTCATGATGAAGCGCGGCAATCGCTCTTCTCCCCTGAAGCCCATCAACGAGGTGCCTCGCTCGGCTGCCCAGCCTATCCACGCCACGGCCAGCCACAGCCACCTCCAAGCTGCTCTGTCTCCCCGGACTACCCGTCGTAACATGCTTGCGACTGAGTTGACCGAGTCTCTTCGCCGTAACCTTCTCTGGGAGCGCCAGCAAAAGTCGTCCACGGCCAATGCCGTCCTCAAGAGACGTCACACCTCCCATGACGTTGCCAACCTCAAGCAGTACCCCGAGAAGGTTTGCCTCAAGAACGGTGACGCCCCCGTCAACCCCCAGTATTTCTCCAAGGACACGGACAACTTCGGAGGCTACCACTCCAAGGGATGGTAAATCGCTATTACATTACCACACTACACACAACACAACACACACTTATCACGATATCCGACGAGCGTGTGGCCTATGAGCCCGCTCGAGCACAGCTATTTCTGGTTGCTTTTACACTGCATTGCGCGCGGCGGCATCGCATCGGCTCTGCCATTCATCATAGTACCATAATCATGGACGCGCATAGTTGGGACTATTCAGTTCCATGATACGACACGGGTGTATCCATTGGGCCTCGGGAGTGGGCCTTCTGGACCTGATTCTAATTTTCACACATTTGCACGGCGTCTCTTCATCATACGATACCATGGTCTGTTTTGTTTTCGCAACATACCACCTTCATGTTTTATCAATGGGTCTGGGTCTCTGCATTTACATGGTTGTTTGAAAGTTTTGTACTGAAGGAGAGGTGGATTGTACTCTATGGACAGGACCAACCGGAGGGGAAAACACATCTACAGAAGGCATTGCCCGAAGGCGACTTCAACAGCAGGACCTGACACTGACTGGGGCATGCTGATGACAAGACATGGGAGGGAGAAGAAAAACCGGGTGGTGGAAGACCAAAAGTGGGGATCTCCCGCGAGAACGGCCGAAAGGGCTGAAGAGGTTGAAAAAGCTGGTTTGAAAAGCAAAAAGCGCACGAGAAGGTCGGCGCAGATGGACCACAAAAGCAAGATCATTGCGACGAAGCCAAAAAAATCCCAAAATCGTCAAAAGAGTTTAGCAAAAACACGAATAAAAGTTGGCCATTCAATCAAACATGCGTCTTGTCACAGTGACACTACAATTCATTCATGCTTTCAATTCAATGTGCCTTGTGACGCTCAGTACAGGTGTTACCTGGCCTGGACTTGCGCGACCGCGAGCAGATGACTCGCTGCTGCTACTGTTGACTGATGGCGGAAGCGCAGACGAAAAGCCCATGCGCTCACCGCTGGCCGGCACGCTAGAGCTGCGCTCCATCACGAGCCCGTTTGTCGGTGTTGTGCATTATCAGTCTATCTACGGAGTACTAAGAGATGGGTAGACAGGCACAGGACAGACAGACCGACCGCATGGGCTCGGCCATTGCTGACATGGGGACTGGAGTTCCAAGGCGACGGCGGGTTACGCTAGGGCAGGGTGGGGGGGGGGGGACTCGAAGGGGAGAGCGAGGAAGAGAGTCGCATTGAGAATGGGCTGGGTTTGCAATCCAAGAAAGAGTGCGTGTAAGTGTAGTTGCTTTGGCATTTTGCGACTGCGGAGAGAGGGATGGATGGATTCGTGGACATGTGAAAGTGGCCGGTATCGTTTTGATTTCGATACCAGAGTACGGATGAGGCCCGGATTGCATTGTGTGTTTCTTGGGCGGGAGGTAAGGGGGGAGGGGGGGTTTACTGCCACATGCGCGGGTTGAGTCACCTTTGCGCATTTTGGGTAAATTTGATTCACTCTTGAACGTCTCGATCTTTGGCCTGTGATTGTCATTGAGGTTTTTGTACCCTCTCCCCTTCCGGTCCAGGTTGGTGAGGAAGCACAGGTCTTTGCCGAGCTGGAGTGTTTGCCGAGGGATAGAATGGATGACTCCTTCTGCTCTTTCCCCTGAGAGTTTTGTTCATCTGTTGTTTGTTTAGATCTTGTTTCCGATCATGTGTGTGATTTTGATTGCCGTGGTTAGATTATGATGGGGGAGAGCGGGGGAATAAGTGTATGGATGGATGGATAGATGGGGGTCGATAAAGTTTGAGGCTGTCAGGTGAGGAGTCAATCTTGTGGTTGTGGGAAAAGCCAAATGGTCTTCCCAGAGGTACGGACACACACAGTCAGTCGTACACACACGCACACACACGCCCATCGGCAGTCCAGTACGGGATACAGAATTCTTGGAGGAAATAAACATTTGGGACACAAATGTAGACGCGTAAACGCCTGGTCTAACCTCTACGCTGCGCGGGTGCCCGGATCGTAAAAGACTTTTTTTCGTCGAGGGTGCATTGGCATTTGTGGGATACCGACGACCTTGTGACACTTTCGTTATCGGATGGAATCTTGTTCCTGTTGGTATTTTGCGACCCGGGGAAAGATTGCGACATTGAAAGTCTGATTTCTTTCTTTGGTTGTGGCGTGGACCGCCAATCCGGGGAAATAGGCTGCGATACTTTTGGCTTACCTTCTGCTATTTCTTCACAAGAGTATCTGGTTCATCTAGGTACGCATTTCCTTACTATTGACGCCGTTCCTTGATTCCTCGAGGATTGAGGAAAAGAGATTGGGGGATTGGCGCGTGGCTTGCTCACCCGGCATTCCGCGGAATTCGAGGAGGGGCGCCGCCGCCGCACAAGGGGGTAAGGCGCTAGATCTGCTGACAGGCTTTATTTATCGTCTTTTCCTCAGTTCGTAGACTCACTCCTCAACGAGAGGCTTCATGGCTTGACTCTGCGGTGCCCGGGCACCGCTGTGCGTTTTTTGTGTGTCTTCGTTCGTCCGTTTCTCTTGACTTGGGCATCCGTACCACCGGCACATTGCCGCTTCTCTCTATACTGCGGCGTACGTTGTGTCGCGGCTCCTGTCTGCCCTGTCGGGGAGGCGCATTGCCTTCAATGTCTTTGGCTAAAATATCGTGGCGTTTTGTCCTTTGCGAGTGAGAGAGGGGGGAGCGGCCGGCCGCAGGGAGGCGTTTAATTCAGTTTTCCTTTTCGTTATTCTCTGGTGATACATCTGGTTTGAGATTGCGGGGGAAGCAAAGGATAACAAAGGCTTGCGGTTGCATTGATTCTTTGGGGAAGAGGCTTGTGTCACGAGAAACGCGTTTTTCGATTGTTGATGGAAATGAGGCAGGTGTCTAAGTACACTGTAAAAGTGTAGAGACATTGAATGGCAGAAAGCAGATGCCGAAAGGTTCAACACTGAGGATGCTGAACAGAGCATGAGCCCAGACCACTGCATATCTCGTCGTCCCAGCGAAAAAAGGGTCAGAGTTGCTGCGTCCTTGATGTCAGACATCCGAGGGGGACGACTGGTGTATCTTCCGCTGACATGTGCAAAAGCCTGTGCTGAAGCTATCTAGAGAGCAGGCGGGCCTTGCAGCGGTCACCTTGAGCAAACTTACCGTGCACCAATCGAGGAAATAACAATACACAATTAACTCGCTGACTGCTGATACGATGGTGATTGTCGATATCACGCACGCCGAACTCTCCCGATACGAGTTTTCCATCATTCAATTGAGTCGAATTTCAATAGCGTAGAAGAAACGCCAATTAGAAAACAAGAAGCGTCTTTTTCGATGCTACTCTGCCGGTTGGCGCATCATTATGCGCATTGGCGTGCTTTTGAGCGGTCTTGACACTACTGCAGCTGCGTCGCAGTGTTTTCGCGGTCAACTTCGCTGGAATTATTATCGATAGGTGAAGTGCACCGCTCTAGAATTGAGATAGTCCCAAAAGTGGTCAAAGTGGTCTCGGTCGCGTTCTATTCAAAGATGCCACGCGAGCATGATGCGGCTGGTAGCATGAATCGTTAGGTTAATCGTGTTTGCTCCGCATCCACCCACCTCCCCGCCACGTCTACATCTACAAATTCCGGCAGTGCTTATGTGGGCAGATGTATACTGGCTGGAAAAATCAGGCAATTACAGTCTTTCGGGATTTGAGGACTGGAGTAGGAGGCTAAGTTTCCCCGGTTCTTTTCTTGGAAAGGGTCTGGTGTGGTTCTGCCCCCGGTTCTTTTACGCAAGAAAGGAGAGATCTTGTTGCTTTGTAATTCTGGAGAATAGGAGGTTGGAGGGCATTGTAAGGTGTGCGCGTAAGTACCCCCGAGTCCGTCACTGCCACTGGACTCGGCGCCTTTGTGGAGAAAAAAGGACGAGAGAGCGCGTTTCGTTGAGGCGGTTCGGCGAGTGCGCGCGCTGGCCCGCGACGTAACGAGTTCCAATGAGGCTCTGGGCTCTATGGGTTCACTGGTTCACGTCCACCACATCCTCCGTCCCATCCCCTCTCCCTGCGTGAGAAATTTGGAGAAGAAGGCGTATGGGATGGGGTCGGCAATGGGTGGATTTCGTGGGTGCTAACTTAGCACACCGTGGAGGGTTTCCAGATCCAATTGGCAATTGTCAGGACGGCTCCAAGAAACTCCACATTCTCTCCTCTTCCCTTTTTCGGTTTTCAGAATAGTCTAGGATGTCCAGGTTCTTCGTTGAAGACATTCTCGTGGTGGTTGGGATTCTGGGCCCGGCATCTAGACTGTCCGAGATGAGTATCAAGCGTCGAGAGAAGCAAAAAGTAGGCCCGAGGTAGTTTCGAGATTTGGGAAAATGCAGTAGGGCTAAAAAGCATGCCATCCTTTTTTGTTATTCTCTTGACACATGGCAGACACGCAGGGGAAGACATTGAATGCCACCCTCAATCGGAAAACTGTATTCGGGGGGCAGATGTGACTGTCCCGGATTCGATTAACCTTTGTCAACGTTCCGAACTATGTGGCCGTGCTTGATGCCGTTGGTTGTAACTGAGCCCGCCGCCCAGTTGCCGATAATGGCAACCGGAAAGATATGACGAGTTCCATCTAACCTGTCTCTGCTTGGCATAGCCGCGACTCCGGATGTGAACTCTATAACGCAGCCCATTTAAGATGTCTAAGCAGGATACTATCAATCCGATAATGCCAAGCCCCTTCTTCCGATGTCGAGATTCGGTTCCCCGCTTCAGATCTGGCACGTCAAAGGAAGAGACTGCCGACTGCCGATGGATGCATGTGAGCTAAGAGTGATGTTGGGTGTTGAGGCTTTTGGCAACAATGCAACAGAATGGTTGGTGAGACAAGAGTGCGGAATCTCGTCCGCATCGGAACCACCTCCGGAACATCAATCATCTGGGCCAGTCCATTGGATCTGACTGGATTACTAACACTGGTGCGATACGGAGACGTGACAGCCAAGAAAGAAACGGTACTCCGTAGTAGATGCCTTATTCCATGAGGATTCAAGCGAATTAAAAGAAAAAAAAGTGGTTTTCCCCCCCTATACAACCTATGTCCACAACTCGTGTAGAGGGGTGACGAAAATATTTGGGTTCCAACTCGGTGATGGAGTAATGGAAAGGGATGGGGCGGATTGAAGGCTCTTGGCCATTTGCCAAAGACAACCATGCGGCTCACATAACAAGTGTCGGCAGACTGACGAATACAAGCTTGTAATTCGTAGTTCACACTGTAGTCAAAGTTTCGATGCACTCAATTGGATCAGGTGCAGCGAACTCTCCAACATGCTCAGCTTGCAAAGCAAAGAGTCTGGACTGTGGGTGCAACTCCATAATAAGGCCGCGGGTGGGATCGGGGTCTTCCCGGTGCCATCTTGGCTTGGTTGCTGACTGTTCAAACGTTGCCTTTTTTTTTTTTTTCTCTCTCTCAACATTTTATTCGAATTCTTTTTTATTCTTTTTTTTGTTACTTGCTCCCGAGAACCATCTCCACCTCGAAAAAGAGGGGCCGGCTCACAAAGGGCTTCAGGGTTATGGCATCTTTGGGATGAAGTGGTGTAATTGGACACAATGATTGGCTCTATTGGTCCTCACACCCCCGGACTCGGGGGCCAGAAGCACGTGGTGGGATCTGGGGGACCGTGCGTGTGGCTTTTTGCGCGCGGCTGGTCTTTCCATACAATCACGTGACTACGTAAGCTGGCGGAGGCTCCACTTGAGGCTGTGGTGGCTTCGCGGGGCCCGCGGCCTCGCCGTTTGGCCGAGGTTTTGGAGATAGACACTCCAGGACGGAACGTACCTAAGCTAAGCCCCAGCTCCTCGGTGTGGGGCGCAAGCGGCACGTGAGAGGGTGTGGCTGTGACGAGTCCTCTCCTCCCTCTCAAATTGGCCAAGACAAGGACGTCCCGTTCAGTTCAGTGCGCGGAACAGGTCCATGGGTAGTTCGCGGGGAAATGTCCGCACCGCGGTTCGGGGGAGGCGTACCTCGGACGGGGCGGGATCTTGGTTGCCTCTCCGGCGATGGAGAAACGGGCGGTATACCCGGTTGCCTCCTTGATAGCCCGCGTAATTGTTCAGGTGACCGTATGACGATGGGAAAGGACCCTGACAACTGTGGCCGA